GAGAGAGAAGGGGGGAGGGACTGGGAAAGAGAGAGAGAGAGAGAGAGAGAGAGAGAGAGAGGGGGAGGGGTCTGAAAGATAGATAGAGAGAGAGAGAGAGAGAGAGAGAGAGAGAGAGAGAGAGAGAGAGAGAGAGAGAGAGAGAGAGAGAGAGAGAGAGAGAGAGAGAGAGAGAGAGAGAGAGAGAGAGAGAGAGTGGGGGGGTGGTGGTGGTGGTGGTGGAGGTGAGGGGGGCAGAGAAGAATTTTCGTATACGAATTGTCTTCATGGAGCTTCTTTTACGGCTAATTTTTCCTTTGAAGTGCAGATTCTGTCGCAGTGCTTGCTCTCTAGTCACTAGCATAATAGTTCTTTCATTTATCATTTTCCTCCATGTTTTCCTGTCCTCGGTTATTTCTTCACAGATGTTGACATCTACTCCAAGCTTAGATTATAATCTGTTTTTGTAGATGTCTTTGTACCTCAGTTTTGACCTTCCCCTTGGTCTCTTTCCATGGGCAAGTTGTCCATAGAGAAATTGCTTCGGAATCCGGTTGTCGTCCATTCTCTTGACATGGCCAAGCCATCTCAAACTTCTTAAACACAGGATTATTTGTAGGGTTGATTCATTACGAGCGACAACAGCAGCATCACCGGCTAAGAAAAGGTCTCGTATTCTTGTTTGGTTTGTTGATTTTGGTCTTGGCTCAAGGTCTTGACCCATCAGTTCTCTAGTGGAAGAAACTGAAATGCTTCTAACTCTGAAAACATGGTTTAACTTGGTTGGAAGACTCTAGAAGTAATATGATTTTTTTTAAAGCTCAACTAAACCTCATATAATGCATCCCCACCTAATGCATGGCCTAATTAAATAACACATTTTACAAAGAAAGTCATCAAGATGAGGTATGCCATAGCAGCATCCAGTGTCAACAGGAATGAATTATCCTCTTGTCCAAGCACCATTATGAGGTTTTAAATATGCTCTACCCAATGAAGCTAAAGCTCTGGTTAGCGAAAAATAAACTACACAACAAAACACAATACATTGCATATCAAATTAGACTTAACCGTGGGTTTTAACTTGCGCACTGGTGACGTACTCAATTCTAGATTGTCATAGAACTTGTGGTAGTCAGATGGCACAACAGACTTCATTTCTTGCATGTGTTATTAAAGTTCTCTTTGGACGAATTAAACTTTCTATCCTGATACAGAGGCAGCACCTTCATGTCTTTATGGAGAATGTCTGTGGACTCGCCGCGCTTCAAAGGCAGATGTGACCAGTCATCATCAAATCTCAGTTTGTATTTAATTTGACCATCTGGTGTATAAACTCTGGTTAGTTAGTTTGATGAAATCAGAAAAGATACAATGAGTCAAATACTTGACTACATATGGCTTCACGTTCCTACTTTCTTCCAATAGCCTGACATAATCAGCTGGGTAGTATGTGCTGTGAGCACTGTCTAACTCCATCTCTGTGTATAGCCCTTCTCTAGGAATTTTAATGTTACAGTTTTACCATTGACAGAGCTGAAAGTAACAGTGCAGAACTCATTTTGACTTTGCAGTTCTGATACAACCACATCCATCTGAATATAATGATCTGGAGTCAAATCAGATAACAAAAAATCAGCCACACAAGGAGCAAATTTATTTGCAGTCAGAGCACCTTCGCATTCATTTGAGACATAACATACACAGTCCTTGCTCTCTAGTTCCTATACTATGAAATTGTGTACATGATGTTCAATTTCGTCTTGTAGTACAAAGCAATTTAAGCATTGGTGCGTGGATATAGCAGAACTGATAGCTGGTCCATTTTGATGTATTTGATTTTGGGGCTGCCCATGCATTTTTCCTTGTCTGCTGTCTTTTTTGTATGCCCCCTCTTCCACATTCCCCTCCTCAAAGCTCACACAAAGATCACACCTATCATTTCGAGGATGGAACAATGACAGGTTCATAGCATTGATCTCCTCTTTAAACTTGAAGGTAGAAAGTACCCCCCCCCCCCACTCATACTTTTCTTTATACAAACGACGGTACACTGCCTGTAAGCTCTGGAAAACAGGTTCCAAGTATAACTTACTGGAGTCCCTCGGCAATAGTGAGATGGCAACTTGGGCAGATCACGAAGAAACTGTCTTTGATGCTGTAGTCTCCTCCCTAACCCTTTTTCTCTGAACTGGAACCTCACCCTCTGCTACACCCAACCCACATGTGAGAACAATGTGAACACACTAGTAACAAAGTACAGGACTTAAGAAGAAAGCCGTGCTCACTTTTACTCTGGCCCCATTTACTCGCAGAGATGGTACTTCATGGACCACGATCTTACTTTCTCTCTCCTTTTTCTCCACAGGCTCGACACAGTCAACCAACCCTTTAACAAAATTAGCCTTTTCTGATTTTACATTTATTTATAATCAAACGCCTCCTTCAGAGCAAAACGTTATCGCCGTGATCCACAATGGCGGGCTACCTAAACGAATTAGACGGTTAGAATTTTTCAGTCACGGAAGCCAGTCGGAATATACGGTTAGAATTTCTCTAACAAGACTTTTGTTTGTCAAAATTGTTCTAGATTTTAATAGGACGTAAACATTCGTCATGTCGATCTATTTTAAGGAAAAAAGAATTTTATTTATAATCAAACGCCTCCTTCAGAGCAAAACGTTATCGCCGCGATCCACAATGGCGGACTACCTTTACGAATTAGACGGTTAGAATTCTTCAGTCATGGAAGTCAGTCGGATATATATATATACGGTTAGAATTTCTCTTTAAAACAAGACTTTTGTTTGTCAAAATTGTTCTAGATTTTAATAGGACGTAGCCATTCGTTATGTCAATCTATTTTAAGGAAAAAAGCAATTCGAGAAAATTTCGGAGTTAGACGGTTAGAATTCTCTGCCGACGATATATAGATCTAGATCTAGAATCTATCTAGATCTAGATCTAAGTACGGCTAGCCACTTCGATTACTGAAGGCCACCTCTATTCTCACCCCGGGTGAGAATCTAGGGCAGGCGAGTCTTTTGGCTATTCTCACCCGGTGGGCGTTCACCGTTATAGTATAGCCTAGGCCAACCAGTTAAGCGTTCACCCTGAACCACAGAATTCTACACTCTCTCTCTCTTTAGCTATCTATCTATCTTATAAAACGTTCTATTACTACTGTTAGTGTTAGGCCTAGCCTATTTATAAGCGTGCAATTTTGTCTGTGGGCAGTGGAGAGAGAGAAACAGAGAGAGAGAGGAGTAGCGCAAGAACTTCCGGGCAAAACAAAATGGCGACCCGCGTAGTTCGGCTCGATTCGGAAAGTTAAACAGCCGTCCGGGTGAGAATAGCCACTTCCTTACTGAAAGGTGGATCAGAGACAAAAGGACCTTACCTAAGAAAGTGGCTATTCTCACCCGCCCGGAAGTTCTCGCAAGATCAACTCCTCCCCTCTTCTCTCTCTCTCCGTCTCTTTCTGAATACTGTCTATCGGTATGGACGATCAAATTGACCAAAACAAAGTTAAAAAATGATATTAAAACACAAAAGTAAATAAATTTGGTTGTCTACAAAGATGCTACGGCTATTTAACTTTTCGAATCGAGCCGAACTACGCGGGTCGCCATTTTGTTTTGCCCGGAAATTCTCGCGCTACTCCTCTGCTCTCTCTTTCTCTCTCCACTGCCCACAGACAAAATTGTACGCTTTTAGTAGGCTACAATTGTAATGGAACGTTTGTTCACGGCACAGAATTCTACAATTTTTCTGTTATCACAGTGTAGAATTCTGTGGTTTAGGGTGAGAAAGTGGCTATTCTCACCCGCCCGGAAGTTCTCGCAAGATCAACTCCTCCCCTCTTCTCTCTCTCTCTGTCTCTTTCTGAATACTGTCTATCGGTGTGGACGATCAAATTGACCAAAACAAAGTTAAAAAATGATGTTAAAACACAAAAGTAAATAAATTTGGTTGTCTACAAAGATGCTACGGCTATTTAACTTTTCGAATCGAGCCAAACTACGCGGGTCGCCATTTTGTTTTGCCCGGAAATTCTCGCGCTACTCCTCTCTCTCTTTCTCTCTCTCTCCACTGCCCACAGACAAAATTGTACGCTTTTAGTAGGCTACAATTGTAATGGAACGTTTGTTCACGGCACACAATTCTACAATTTTTCTGTTATCACAGTGTAGAATTCTGTGGTTTAGGGTGAGAAAGTGGCTATTCTCACCCGCCCGGAAGTTCTCGCAAGATCAACTCCTCCCCTCTTCTCTCTCTCTCTGTCTCTTTCTGAATACTGTCTATCGGTGTGGACGATCAAATTGACCAAAACAAAGTTAAAAAATGATGTTAAAACACAAAAGTAAATAAATTTGGTTGTCTACAAAGATGCTACGGCTATTTAACTTTTCGAATCGAGCCAAACTACGCGGGTCGCCATTTTGTTTTGCCCGGAAATTCTCGCGCTACTCCTCTCTCTCTTTCTCTCTCTCTCCACTGCCCACAGACAAAATTGTACGCTTTTAGTAGGCTACAATTGTAATGGAACGTTTGTTCACGGCACACAATTCTACAATTTTTCTGTTATCACAGTGTAGAATTCTGTGGTTTAGGGTGAACGCAAAATTTGGTGAACGCGCACCGGGTGAGAATAGCCACAAGACTCGCCTGCACTATTCTCACTCCGGGTGAGAATAGAGGTGGCCTTAGGGTGAACACGCACAGGGTGAGAATAGCCACAAGACTCGCCTGCACTATTCTCACTCCGGGTGAGAATAGAGGTGGCCCTTACCTAATACAACTCACATTTCGTCGGCAGAGAATTCTAACCGTCTAACTCGAAATTTTCTCGAATTGCTTTTTCCTGAAAATAGATCGACATGACGAATGGCTACGTCCT